ATTAAGGTGGTTGGTTGGTTGCTCTCTCAGATATAACTCTTTTTTTATTATTATTATTATTTTACTAAGGGCTTCTTGGCATTACTGTCTGGTCTCCAGTGCAATATCACAGCACCATAAAAGGATGTTTTTCTCCCTTGAGTGAATATTTAAATGGTTTTGGAGAGAAGCCAGCATACAGCAGCCCAGCAGGCATTGGAGCTCTCTTGGTAAAGCAGCTAGGAAAAGCATTAGCCCAAGTGTTACGCATTTTGAAGGGAGTTTGTTACTCCCTGACAAACCTAACACATAGATAACAAAATCTTCCAACAAATCCTTACTAATGACAAGGAAGATGATGAGCTGTGTCACCTTTGGCCCAGTAGACAGGACAGGGAGAGGCAGGAAAGAAAGTGAAATGCTTACAGGGCTGAAGAAGATACATGAGGAAAGACAGTCCTTAAATGCTGGACTGGAATCAAGAATACGACTGGCTTCAGTCTTCCAGGGATTCAGTGTGGAGATGTGGATCTTGTTTAAAAAGATAAAAAACATTAATTTTTTTTAAAAAATATACATATATATAGTGCCTTTGTTACCCAGCTTTTCAGTTCCACTGATTGCAAGACTAGAACCAATCCCATTGACCAGCTACTCTGGTCTTCAAATTAAGACCATAAATCTCATAATTCCTGAACAACATCCCTAATACTGATTGAGCTAAAGCAAGATTCTCCAGAGAAAGGTTCTTTTTGTGTTCCCACAGCTTGTGAACTTCAGTAGGCTTAACCAGCCCCCGCTTGGGGCACTCACTCCCAGAGCAGTGACAAAAGGTGGCCAGGTCTATTCCTAATCAGAAGGCAATGCAGCCCAAATCCCTGTCTGCTATACATGGATACAACCCCAGAGGAACCAGAGAAATTCAAGAGGACACAGCATGTGGCCTGGAATACATCTGATTTACCTGCCCCTGGAGGAAGCTGGTATTGATCACCAGACTTCCCACAGACAGACTTCGTCTGGGAAGAAGCAGCATGGAGAACCCATGTATCTGTGGTTAACAACAAGGTGCTGAATGCATTTTCCAGACCAGAAACTTCCTAAAGTGTTGCCTGCTACAGCTGGGTGGGTGTAGCCCATGAAGGATACCTCTATACAGCCCTGATGCTTACATTTCCCCGAGCATCCGCTCCTGGCTACTGCCAGTGGCAGGATATTGGGCGAGACAGTTCTTTGCTCCGACCCAGGACAGCAGTTCCTATGTTTTCATGTGAGTACAATGAGAGCAGGAGGGAGCTGCCTGTCTCTTCCCTCAAACAGAAATCCAGTCAATGCAGGAAACACAGGTCTGGGGAGGCTTCCTGCCCTCCCTCTCACTCTAACTCAGGTTTGAAGATGGGGTAAAATATTCTGGTTTCTGCCATGGTCAGTTTCACTCAGGACACCAACTACAGCATGGGAATGAGGGGAGCTGAACTACAAGACCCAGTGGACTTTTGTAGCCATTATATAACAGGAAAGTATTGTCAAAAATCAAAGCACTGCAGTACTGTGACTATTGCTCTTCAGGTTCAAAGAGTAACAACAAACCTGAGAAGCTGAGTGCTGTGCAGGATACAGACATGACTCATCACAAGGGACCTTTCAGCCTATACACTCCAAAATATACCAGGGAGAAAAAAAAATTGACTGTAGCATCACTCCCAATGTCCAGAAAGGAAACTGAGGCATAAAGATTTCCCCCTGCTCACCTAACTGTTTGTGGTAGAGACAGGAGCCAACTACAGTCCCCAAGTTGCATAGTTGTGCCTTCTCTATATCTGCACCTTCAACTTTCTGAGCAGGTAGATGCAGGCACCTCCAACCTTACAGAAAGCCTTTCACTGCAGCAGGTATTTCAAGCTGGGGCTGCAGGGCTGTGAACGGGTCAACATCTACACTTTGTGAAGGAACATCTCTCTGGCCACGCTTGCTCCCTGCTTTGCAAGTACAATTGTCCCCAGGAAGTCAAGTTCCCCCAAAATTTCCTTCCCTTGCTTTTAGACTGTGACAGTTGTGCCAGATAAATGTGCAGTGGCAAATGACCCTTTCATGAGGTCCACACTGCAGTCTGTGAGGATTTTGGTTGGGTGCTGGTTGTCAGTGTCCAGGTGAAGGGGACAACCAATGTGCTACAAAAAGCAGTAAGTGGTTTCATAGGAGAACCAATATGTAAGATGTGACAGTCTCTGTGACAAACACTCCTTGCAAACTTAGGCACCAAAGACAGAAAGGCTCTTTGACTGCTTTAGACAGGTGGGAAGGTGAGATTCAAATCTGTGTCCTCAAGGAGCATTAAAATACCCCCAAAGAGACGAAGATGGCCTGGAAAAGGGCTTCTCCTGCTCTGAACTCCTGGGGCTATTTTGACAGCCTGCAGATTCTGAGCAGGACATCCCAGCTGCAGCATAAAGGATGTAGAAGCCAAAGGACCTGATCACAAGTATTAAAATCAGTGGGAATTTAAGAATTAAGACCTAGTAGTGTAAGAACTGGGGGGGGAAAAAAA